TCAGGCCCCGCCTTTGCTACTTTCTGTTTGACTGGAGGGAATTTCTAAACACTGGGTAACTTTCAAACCCGAAGGGCCTAACTATGCCAGAACTGTGGCGGCACAGTGAGGTAAAGCCATCCAACTTTAAGCACCCCCAACCTTTTCCTGTTGCCAGATAACAAAGCCTTAGTCATACCTATTTTCATAAAAGAAAGCTTCTTGTGCGCTGTGGTTGATGGCACAATAAGAGCCCAACTGCCACCATAACCATCTAGATCCCAGAAAAAATGTGTGCACTCCAGCTCTAACAGTATGTCCTAACCACAGGCTCACACAGGTCTCTGACCCAGGGAGACTCAGAAACAAACCAACGAGCCCACTCACGGAGAGTCTCAGAGCTCATAACACACATTAAAACATCTCGGAAGACCTTCAGTAAACAAAACTGCATAAACCAGCTGTGCCCAGAGTTTCTGTTCAGAAACACAGTTTTTAGTAAACATATATGTGAAGGATCTCATACAAGTGTTAAGTACTGCCCGTTTGGAGAGAAATCTTTTGGGGACAAATGCTTAGAGGTAGACTTGGCGGGTCAAAGGACATATGCTATTTTTATTTTAATATATACACCAAATCACCTTCTAAAAAGTCATAATTAATATCTGTTTAGTTTCGCATATAAAGGAACTGAATCCCCAAGCATTCTTTCTTACAAAGGCGGTGATCAGGAAAAAACACTGCAGCCAAGAGTACTTTATAAAACACCAGCACAAACTGGGCAATCAACTGGGTTATCAAACTACATCTGCGGATTCCATTTCTGACCATCACAAAGTAACTGGATTGGACTTTTCCTCCTTTCCCCATACCTTAAAAAACTAAAAAACTAGAGTAAACATGAGGTTTTTGGCACTGGGAAAGAGGCAGCTTGGGACTGTGATTGTTGAGGGAAGGGAAACCCTGAGGTAAGCCAGACACTGCCTGGGAACAGTTTCCAAACCACAGAACAGGAGAAAGAGTGCTAGAGAGTGGCAGTCCGGTCAAGCTGGGGGACACAGGGCCAAGTCCGGGGCTGCAGAAGAGGCAGGAATCTGAGTGTCAGGCATCAGAGAAGACGGCAAAAGCCAGGCTCCCTCTGTGTAACATACACAATGTTCAACAACCAAGAACGTACTATACACGTGACAAAGCAACAGAAGGTGACGCATAATCTAAGGTCAAACCTGTCAACAGAAACAGACCCTGAGATGACCCCCATGTTGTGATTAGCAAACAAGGGCTGTTAACTAGCAACTGTAAATACATTCAAGGTTGTAAAGAAAAAGATGGGAACAATGAGTGAACAGATGGGAAAAAAAGTCTCAACAGAGAATGTGAATTATGAAAAAGAACCAAATGCCAATTCTAGAAGTGAGAGTAGAATGTCTACGTCAAAAGGCGTGTTGGGTGCTAGTATAGATTAGATACTATAAAAAAACGAATGGGTAATGTGAGCTTGAAGACTGATCAGTAAAGATTATCCAAACTGAAAAAAGACAGGGATTAAAAAAAAAAAAATCACAGGCTCTGCCCGGCTGGTGTGGTTCAGCAGCTGAGCATCGACCCGGGATCCAGGCGATCGGGGTTTGATTCCCGGTCAGGGCTCAGGCCCGGGTTGCGGGCTCGATCCCCAGTCGGGGGCGTGCAGGAGGCAGCCGATCAGTGACTCTCTCATCACTGATGTTTCTGTCTCTCTTGCTCTTTCTTCCTCTCTCTGAAATCAATAAAAACAAACAAAACACCTAAAAACACCACAGGGTCAATGACCTGAAGGCAACAACAAATGGTCTATCAGACATATAATTGCAACCCCAGAACTAAGAAAATGGGGCAGAAAAAGTATTTGAAGAAATGATAGCCAGTATTTCACCCAAATCTCATGAAAGAAATCAATACACAAATGTAAGAGGCTCAATGATCCCAAGAAGGAAAAATACAAAGAAAACCTAGGCACATCACAGTCAAACTGCTGAAAAGCAAAATTAAAATAAAAAATATTCAAAGGAAAAAAGACAAATTACAGACAAAGGAAGTACAACAAAAAAATGAGCTGACACTTTCTCAGACACAATGAGGATTAAAAGTCAACGTAAAGAGAATTTTAAGGTGCTGGGGGAAAAACTGTCCATTTAGAATCCAATGTGCAGCCCCGGCCGGCGTCCTGTCCTCAGTGGCTGGAGCGTCGGCCTGCGCCCCACTCCCCACCGCCAGCCGGACGCGTCTCTCACGTGGATGCTTCTCCCCCGCCCCCGCCCCTCCTTCCACTCTCTCTGAAACGCACTGGAAAAAACATCTTTGGGTGAGGGTGTAAATGAATAATAATAGAATTCAACATCCACACATTTCCAGGTCTCAGGGTGCAGGGAGACTCACCACCGGCAGGTGCGCACAGGAAAGGCTGAGGGCCTTCTTTAAGCCGAGTGGGCGATGCCAGATGAAAACACTGGCCAGCGAAGGAAACCGAGAAGACCAGAAACGGCTGATATGTGGGCAGACAGACCATTTCAATTTCCTTAAAATAACATTACGCCATGGGTTTTAACATCCGTAGAAGTAAAATAGCAAAAGGCACTGAGGGGAAGTGGAATTATACTATTACAATATTCCTGCATTTATATGGAGTTACAATGTTTAACAAAATAAATAGCATGCGCAGCCATAAAATAAGTCCCAATATGCTTCAAAAGACCGAAAAAGACCGAAACCCTACAGAGTGTGTTCTCTAAACGTAAGAAATTAAGTCAGTAGCCAACGAAAACAGGGTATTTAAAATACCTCCAAAGAGTTAAAAATGGAACAATACACTTCTAAACACCACAGATTAACAAAGAATTCACAAAGAAAATATTTTAATCTAAAGAAAAACTAAAATGTATCAAAATTTGTGGGCTGTTGCTAAAACCCAGTTTAGAGGAGTATGTGCAGCCTGAACAGAAACTGGTGATCGAAACAAACGGCCCGATGTAAGGAGGGAAACAATCGATGTCAGAAGAAAAACGGGGTGGGGGGGGCAACACACACAGGAAACATCAGGAGTGAAAAGATGCTTCTATGAGAGATGAGGCTGACTGATAATCCCCAGCAAACCCGACAGGGAGAAAACACAACCTTAAAATATCAGGAATGAAGCAGGAGCCTTCACTGCAGGCCCTGCAGACATTAAAAGATACCAGGTGGGGGTGGGGGGTGAAGGGGTCTTAATATATGGTGACGGGATAAGATATGACTCTGGGTGGCGGGCACATAGAATAATACACAGATCTTGTAACAAAGAAACCCACACCTGAAACCTGTATGTTCACACTAACTATTGTCACCCCAATAAATTTAATAAAGTGTCATAAAAAAAAAATTAAAAAAATAAATAAATAAAAAAGAACACTAGGACCAATTTTACCCCCAATAAATTCAACAACTTACATGAAATGTACAGATTCTTTAAAAGACACAAACTACCAAAACTCATAAAGAAAGAAATAGAAAAATCTGCATAGCCTAATATCTGATAAAGAAATTAAATTACATGAAGCAGTTCTTACTAAGAAAACACCAGGGCCCAAATGGTTTCAAAGACAAATTCAATCAAACATTTAAGAAATTACACCAATCTCACACTTCACTCTTACAGTGCACACCTCCCAGCTCCCTTTGCGAGGCCCACATATCCCTGACAGCAAAACCTAACAAGAAAATACAGAGCAACATCCCCTAGGAGCACAGACACAAACATTCACACCAAAAGACTAACATTAAATCCAATAAAAAGACTACACCATGCCTAAAGATTTGTATAAATTAATACATCATGACTCTCAGAAGTTCAAGCTGATTTAACATTTCCCCCTTCAAAAAAAGTGACTTACCACATTATTAGGAGGGGGAAATAGAAAAACTATAAAACAGTCAATTCAAGATGGTCCAGACCTAAATATACAAGCCACAACTGTAATTCTTGTAAAAAAAAAGAGTACTTCTTACCTCCAGGTAGGCAAATATTTCTTAGAGAGAACCCACCACGTAATAACCATTTCCAAAATCTGATAGCTGGGCTTCAACAGAATTATAAAGTTCTGCTCATTGAAGACACGGTTAAGAAACTCAGACTGTGCGGACATAGTCCCAATACAGACCTGCACCCAGAATATGTTCAAAACTCCTGCAGATCAGAACAGAAGACAAACAGCCCCAAGACAGGGAGACGACTTCAGCAGACACTTTCCTAGAAATAACATATGGTTTAACATTATATATGAACGTAATATAATCATGAATGTGGGCGCACGAAAGGTGTTCAACTCATTTGTCGTCAGAAAATGAAAACTGAAGCCGCCAGGAGAAGCCACCCCACAGCAGCCCGGGCAGAGATGGCAGAGCCACTCAAGACCACCCCCGGCAGCTGCTCACACAACCAAACCTACTAGCCTTTGCCCAGCAATTCCTCTCCTTGTTACACGTTAAGAGAAATGAACACATAACGTCCACACAAGACTGAAGAACCTTCACAGCAGCTTCACGCCACACAGCCCGAGCACCTAACCAGAGGGTGAAGGAACACAGTATGAAATATTCATGCCCCGTAGTCCTGAGCAACAAGGAGAAGCTATTAACGCGCAGAGGAGGCAGGTCGGCTCGGAGACGCTGCGCGGGGGAGGCGTGGACGGCGGGAGCTGAGCTGCAGGCCGCGCCGCTCGGCCCGCGGGCAGGACACGGGCTGTGGGGACGGATCAGGGCAGGACGGGGCGGGGCCGACGGTCAGGGCAAGGGCACCTGTGTGCATTTGTCAAGACTCTCGGAATTGCACTTGTGAAGCGCAGTTCATTGCCCCTCCATACAAAATGCTCTTTGAAAAATAAACGCAACGGAAACTTCCTGGAAGAAAGTGGGAAGGACCTGCTGAGAGTCGAGGGCCGATCAGAACCTTGTGTCACATGCAAAGCTCACGCACAGCAATCGATCGATCAACGGAGGAGGAATGATACCTGTTCACTCTTCTCGGGCATTTCTCTGGCTTGATGTCCAACTCGTAGTGATAGATGTCAATTTTTGGAATGTCCATTTCGAAGAAGTTGGCCTGCAGCTTGATGGTTCTCCCAGAGGTCCCGAAGTCGGGCCTGGGCGGGGGCTTGAAGGCATATCCCTGGACCGGGGGTGGTGGTGGCGCGGGAGGCGCGAGCACTGCAACGGCAAAGGGGTCGCGTCACACAGGGGACCGCACGGCCCCGGGCCTCCCACCGCCCGGCCCCGCCCTCCCACCTCATCGGAGACCCCAACTGCCAGGCTCGGGGGTCCCCTCGCCCCCACATACGCCCTCCTGTGTCCCCCAACCACACGTGACACACACCATGTCCTCCCCGGTCCTCCTGGCTCTGCCCAAATCCTTGAAATGCTGCGTTTTCTCTGCTGAGGGCTCACGGCCCTCCGGTCCGTGGACCACAGTCAGCCCCTTCCTCCATCACGAGGCCGTGGTCTACCCACCGCCGAGGCCCCCCACGCCTTCTCCACCCAACGGCACGTCCACCTGCTCGTCCCTAAGCCGTCCCTCCCCACCCACCCCTCCGTGCTCCTGCGCAGGGGCCGCCCGGGGGTGCGCTCTGCTCCCAGGCACCCTCCCCCACTCCCCACACCACAGGCCTGAGTGTCCGCACTCACAGAAGTGCCGCACTAATGGCCACAGACGCTGTTCTCGTGGCATTTGTTGTTTTTTGTTTTGTTTTCTTTCTATGAAAAAACGAATATGCCTTAAAGGTACGAACCTCATGAGTTACCCCATCTGGAAACTTCAGGCCCCTCTCCACGAAGCTATGACTTCACAGATGACAAATTTACAGATCGCACAACACTCGGCCCCACGTCCGTGCTGGGGAGTGTGCCAGGGACAAGGACACAAAACAAACGGTTCTCAGGCCGCTCACATGGCGCTTCCCAGAGAGTGTCCGAGGGCCAGTCATCAAGTGGACGCGGTGCTGCTGCTTCTCATAAGCTCAGCAGGTCACTGCGACCCTTCTCACTAGGGCTCAGACCATGCCCAGAAGTGGACAGCACCGTCCAGTGCGGCCCGCTGGCTCCCCGTGCTCAGCACTGAGTGCCACTACGAAGCGGTCCCAGTTCTCGGGTGGACACCTCCTGTCCAGCAGGAGGAACCTTGTGAGCGCAGCAACAAAACTGAACCACAAGAAGGAATGTACGTGTCCGGGAAACGTCCCACCACGGACCACAGAAACCTGGCCTGGGCTCAGTTTCAGGAACATGGCAACCTACGCACTGAAGAAAGTCCCAGTTCACAAAGTGCTTGCGCGCGTGCCTGGGCCGTGCCTCGCAGACGCAGGGCAAAGCTGTTGCCTGGAAAACGTGAAGCCGTCCAAGGCCCCGAGTGACAGAGCCAAGGTGCTCAGCTCCAAACCCACGCTCCCTCAGCACCATCCCCAGCTCCTGCCCCCGCCAGATGCTGAAGGTTTCCCCATACTTAACTCTGACCAAGTGACACGTCGGGCCTTGGGCCCATTTCTCAGGCTGAGCCTGTTTTCCCTGTGTCCCCCCAATACCTATTACTTCTGTAGGATTTGCCATGGGACACAAAGAAAACTACCCACCAGTTTGTGTTACTAACCCGTGTCACTAAAAGCAACGTAAAAACAATAGCAACATACTCATAAAATACATAATTCCACAAGGTGTCGCCTCCCCCTTCTTGCTTTTGAGAACGGCAGGGATACGAAGTCACAGGGAACAGCGCTGCACCGCTGGCCAGGGGGAGAACACAGGTGGGGGCCCAGTTCACAGCTAGGGAAAGGCCACGCTCCTGCTGGAGGATGCGGAAACTGCTGGGCCCGGCCCCCGGAGATCTCCCACCTGTTTTTATAATCCACAGGGAGTCCTGAGAGTAAACCGCCAGAAGCAGCAAGAAGACAAACGAAACACCAGGGAGGACCGTACTCGGCAGAAGGGGCCGTTCCAAGCTCGAGGGCACAGAGGGGCAGGGCCACCCATCGAAGTGCAGGCTCCGGGCACCAAGATGGAAACCAAATGCGGCCAGAGGCTGTGCGCCCGCATCAGGCCTCCGAGGGCTCCAGCGGTCCCCATATGGGGGGTATGCTCCAAGACGCCCAGGGGCTGCCTGAAGCCGCGGAGAGTGCAGGCCCTACATGCACCACGTTTTTACATCTGTGTTCACATCTGTCCACTCAAAGGAAGCACCTGAGGGAGTGTCTGTGGAGGGTCCGAATGGCCAGCATCACTAGTCCTGTGCTCCAGGTCCATTATTAAGTAAAATGAGGGTGACCTGACCGCAAGCACTCCTATACCTCAACAGTGCATCTGATAACCGAGGCAGCTGCTGCTGGAGAAACGGGTGAGTCACGTCCCAGCGGGACGGAACAACTGAGAACTAGCTGAGAGCTAGCACCCATTTTAACCTTATGAATCGAGTGTTTCTGGGATTTTCCATTCCATGTCTTCAAACTGTGGCTGACCGCATGTAAGGGGGACAACTGTAAATCTATCACCGAAAGATCAGCTCTCCACCCACTGTTTCTACAGCTCAGGGCCCTTCGCTGTCCCAGCAGAGAACGGTGACAGCAGGTACCCAGCGGGGTGGGTGGGTGTCAAGAGGGAGAGAGGACTCAAGTCAGAGTGAGCCTCTGACATGCCCGGTTCTTGTGCCCCCAGAGCAGGAGGCCCTGGCCGACTCCCGGGCCCCCAGCAGCAGGTGCCACCAACGTTTGCTGAACAGACAAAAGCCTAAGAGGGCGCAGCATCTGGCGACTCCACCGAGGAGACGCCGCCGAGCTTCTCTCCGACCTGGGGCGGCGGCTCAGCTCCCCAGAGGAGGGCGGCGGGAAGGGCCGCCTGCCATCAGCGAGGCAGTGCCCACAGAGCACGCCATCGACATTCCCAAGCACAGCCAAGGAGTGGGTTTCAAGAGGCTGTCCCTCGGGCCGTCACAGATCCGGGGATTTGCCGGGAAGGAGGTGGGCGCTCCAATGTGCGCAGGGACCCAGGCTCCACAAAGGTGCCTGAGCCAAAGGGATGAGGGCTGCCCCACACCCCGGGCCGGTGCACTGTCCAGAACACGGATGAGGACCAAGATTCACCAAACAAGCTCTATACGTTAGTCACCTACGTACCTGTCACCACTTTTAAAAAATCTACAAAATTTCCAAAAAAAAAGAGAGATGCCACCAAGCTGGTGTCCAATGAAGGGCCCTCCTGCTCAGCAGGACCTCACCCCAAGGCCCCCCTGCACTGAGGACTCTGCGTGGTAACGGAGGCCACCAGCCAGCCCACACCGGGCCACGCGGACTCCCCAGCCCCGAGCCCCCCACCCCGTGAGAACTATCCTGCCACCGGCCTGCGTTCCCGCCCTGCCCGCAGCCAGCAGGCACCACCACAGGTCTCGTCTGCCCACCAGTGCGATGGATTTGCTTTGAATGGATTTCTGGTTGTTTCTGTAAATGTTAGTCCTGCCTCTGCGCTGGGGGGACCCCTTAGGAATGGGAAGGCAAGCCCTTTTCCGTCTGAGACATGGGATACTACACAGTGGCTAGTAGCTGTTTCGGGGGGACGGCTCATCCAGGACAGCTGCCAGCTCAGCCCCTCAGCACTTTGGTGACAAATTCGTCAGTCCAGCCTTCCAGGCCTGTGCGACCACTGAGGGCAGGGTCCCCAAACCGAGAGTCTAGCACTGTCAGGGACAGAGCGGCGTGCTGGCTGAACCGCCCACCGATCACCAGCACATTAAAAATTTCATTTAATGCTTCTCAATCAATGAAAGGGAAACGCAGTGAATGAGTCATTGGCTTCCTATGTGAGTAAGTGGGTCACAGCGGCCCGTTTCCGTCTCTCACAGATGCTGGGGAGGCAAGCTTGTCATTGCTGGTCCTCCTGAAGCAGCCCACCCCCGGGGCTGCACGGGCACTGGCTTTTCAGGGAGGGTCAGAAAGCGGGGCGAGGGACACCTGCCCCATGTGCCATCTCTTGGCCTCCCCCTCCCCCACAAAAGAGGGCAGCCCCTCGCCAGAGTGGCGCTCGTCCCCATACTCCCTCTAAATACAGGATGGACACCAAGGAAAAGCTGGCACACAGGACAGGAAAGCGAGGTGACAAAAGTGAGGGTGTGTGTGGGGGGTCCCCAATGGGTGGGGTGATCTGGGTGGGGGCAGGGAGGCCGAAGCAGCTCCTCGTCTTCAGTACACCCCCATGGCGACATTGCCACGGAGACCCTAAGACCTCTCCAGGGACTTCTGCTCATACCCAACTTATTTCAGAACATGAGGCTCAAGTCAGACTCAACCCACGGTACAGACAGGGAAGGCAGGGAGCAAGCTGAGATGTTGAGAACTCCTCCAGCTGGGCCACCCAAGTGCTCCTAGGAGGCTGGCCTAGTGACACGGAGCCCAGACGACCTGCGGCGTGGGCCTCACAGCCACAAGCAAAGCTGCACCTGACAGGTACGGGAGTGGCCAAGAGGGGACTGCAGGTGGTGGGGGCGGGACGAGGCCAGGCCAGCCCAGCTGGAGACCTTAGGGGCTGAAGCACGGTCCAGTTTTGGCCAAACGGAGTAACGCCTGTACCCTACAGCTCAATTCGTGGACACACGAACACAACTTACAACCACACAAGCACCTTTCCTGCTCCCGCTTGGAACCCAGAGGCATAGAATCAACCCTCAGGCCATCACTGTAGGCCCAGCATGGGACCTGGGGCAGAGCTCAGGCCTGTCTCCCAGGGGACAGGGTGTGAGGGGTGCACCACAGGGGGGTCGGTCGCTTGCCTAGGAACCCCCTCCGGAGAGAAGGGAGTTTGGCTTCACTCGAGAATACCTCAGGTGTACTGAGAGCCCATGGGTGGGGCGCGCATGCTCCCATCTCAGCCTCCTCCACCCCCAGGCCGCCTCTCCCTCACTCATCCGTTCTGATAATGGTATTTCAATATGACCAGGCTTCTCTGTCATCCTGCATATTTTGTTTTGTGCCTTGAAAAACATTCTCTGGAAAGTGTTCCAGCCAGAGCTTCACCAGGCCGACAAGGGGGCTAAGGGTCCTATGCCCTGGGGAAGATCAGCTCCGAGGGGATGAGTGGCTTCATCCCTGAGCAGGGAAAATGGGGTGCCAGCTGCTAATGTCACAAAATCTCCATGGTGTCTGTCGCGGTGAGGAGGGTGGGCGGTCTAATGCT